GGAAGTGTTCAAAAAACGTGTGGACGTGGCGCTTCGGGACGTGGCTTAGGGGGCATGGTGGTGTTGGGTTAATGGTTGTACTTGATGATCTTGAAGGTCTTTTCCAACCTTTATGATTCTGTGATTCTGTAATGGGAGGTGTAGGTTATACTTTTCCGTGTTTTTCTGTTAATGCTGTTGGGTTTTTTTGTTTGAAGCATATGGTGTACAATACTACTGCACTATAAAAATACAGGAGAGAACAATCAGAACTGTTTACCTTGTTGACTGTTATTTTCTTAGAAGCAACCAAGTCTTGCTTAATGTTATACACCTTTTTTTATTTAATTCAGTATGACTGACCTCGAAAATTGATAAAGGTCAGACTCTGTATTTGTTAGTAATGCTTTATCTTTCTAAAAGAGAAACTTTCAGATTTGCAAATGTTTATTTAATTTTATGGGAAAGATGAATTTTGCTTTACTATTCAAATTTTCATACTTTGAATTGCATACAAGTTGGTTCTTTGTAAGCTAAAGAAACAACTTCAGATACTTCAGTGTATTTTTTAAAAATTTTTTTGTTTATTTTAGACATGTCTGTTCTACTGCAGGAAGTTGAATCTGACTTTTTATTACACTGTTTTGTTCCTTTCTCTCTTAGGACTGGATGAAGGTTCTGCAGTTGTTTTGCAGTTTAAGAAAAAACAGTCCAGGGACATCAAATAAACGTCTACGTCAGGTGAAGCTGTATAGATATGGGGGGGAGGGGGATAGGTTGTCTCCTTGTTGCAAAGCGATGATGATACATCTCAGAATTTTTGTTTCGACAATAGTAAATCCTGCATGTATTTCTTTTTCTCAGAGTTATGCAGTGCCTTTGTTAAACCAACTGGAATGACTACTACTTTGTTATAATATTTATATACACAAAGAAAAAAATGTTTTTAGGCAACTGGAAGAAGCTTTGCTAGGTATAAATTTGTGACGACATTTGAGTAAAAGTGTCAAGAATTCAGCATTTGTATTGTCTTAACTCTTACAATTCACCAGATTTGACAGACTTATGTCACATGTAACCAAAATACTAGTATATCTAATATTATTCTTTTTCAGTGACAAATACATGCTGAACTGTGATTATGGCATAATTTCTTTTGGTCTCTTTAGAATACTGTTGTGGCTAGAATTTCTTTCAGAGGTAAAGGACAGATAGTCATAAATGGCTACATCGGCGATGATTAGAGAATAACAGGAATCAAGAATCCCTGGTATCTTTGAATGCTACGAATGTTGGAAGTAGCTGTTTTATCAGTCTATGGAAACAGGGCTAAAATTTTTTTTAGGAAACGCAGAATTATTCTGTGGTCAATATTAAAGATGATTGAATACTTCTGAAGAACCAAACTAAATTAGGTAAATTGATATATAAACTGGCAGAAGTAATTGGAAGCCACAAAAGTGAAGCACCTACAGAGTGGTCATCTGAACTAATTTTGTACTTCCAAAAGCAAAGAAAATGTTAGGCTGCATGAAGGAATAGAATAGAATAGAAAATAGATGCTATTTAATATTTATGGTATTCTCATTTAGGATACAGTTAGTTTTGATCATCTTATAACAAAATGCATAAAGGAAATGAGAAAATTATTTTCATTATAGGCTGGAATGAATAAAAGAATTTCCAAGTAAATAAGTGTGGGAAGTATTGGATTATTTAGAGAGGTGAAAAGTATAAGAAGCATGAATGATCAAAGTATATAAAGTGTATAAAGATCAAAAATCATACTTCCATGACTGTCTTACCGAAATTTTATCAGTTTCAGGGTTTCTTGAACTGTCCTTTGAAAACTCTGGTACTGAATATTTATATTTAAATGGATTTTTGACCTGATCAAGTATGATATTTCCTGTATTTGTCTAAATTGACTTCAGTTGATATCAGTCGATATTTGATTAAGCTATGAATTGCATGCAATTCATAAATTTGTAAAATAGTAGACTGTTTAAAATGTATTTAATGTAAATGATTTCAGAGAGTCCACTTCTCATTTTCTGGAAATTGAGTTTCCAAGTGTTGTTGTTTTGAGAATCTATAGTACAGACAGTATCTTCCTTTTAACAGGGAGAAAACAGAGTAGTGTGTTAAACAAGGGTATTTTATGTAATCTACTGTTGTTTAGAGTAGAATAGAATAGACTATTTCAGTTGGAAGGGACCTACAGTGATCATCTAGTCCAACTGCCTGACCAAAAGTTAAAGCATAGGATTAAGGGCATTGTCCAAATGCTTCAGACACTGACAGGCATGGGGCATTGACCACCTCTCTAGGAAGCCTGTCCCAGTGTTTGACCACCCTCTCGGTAAAGAAATGTTCCCTAATATCAAACCTGAACTTCCCCTCATGCATCTTTGAACCATTCCCATGCATCCTGTCACTGGATACCAGGGAGAAGAGATCAGCACATCCTTCTCTACTTCCCCTCCTCAGGAAGCTGTAGAGAGCAATGAGGTCGCCCCTCAGCCTCCTTTTCTCCAAGCTAGACAAACCCAGAGTCCTTAGCTGCTCCTCATAGGACATGCCCTCCAGCCCCTTCACCAGCTTTGTTGCCCTACTCTGGATACATTCGAGTACCTTAACATCCTCCTTAAATTGTGGGGCCCAGAACTGCACACAGTATTCAAGGTGAGGCCACACCAACACTGAATACAGCGGGATAATCACCTCATTTGACCGGCTGGTTGGGTTGGGTTTGATGCACCCCAGGCTGCGGTTTGCCCTCTTGACTGCCAGAGCACGCTTCTGACTCATATTGAGCCTAATCTCTTAGGAAAGCACCAAATATGTGTTTAGAGTTGTCCATGGCTCTTACTCAAGATACAAGTCTTTGACTTCAGTAGAATTTTCTATGCAAGTTAGTACTTGCAAATCTTAATGTCTTGTAGTGATGGTTTTAAAAGTAAAAAATAAGATGAGTTAAAACTATGATGCTGGAGGTTTATTTTCAAGTTGAGTTGCTCTTAACTTGTCACTGGTGCCTCTTAAAATCTTGTTCCATTATTCCTGTTCCCTGCTCTTTCTATTAAGAAATTATATTTTGAATTTAATATTCATACCTTAACATAAAGCCTTCACATGGGGGGGAATTCCAGTCTTTCTTTTTTAAAAATTTTGTGTATTTTCTTTAGGTCAGCAGTCTTATCTTACATGTAGAAGAAGCTCATACACTCCCAGTAAAACATTTTACTAATCCGTATTGTAACATCTACCTGAACAGTGTCCAGGTAGCAAAAACGCATATCAGGGAAGGGCAGAACCCTGTATGGTCTGAAGAATTTGTCTTTGAGTAAGTCTTAATCTTATTGAATTACTGAATTTCACTTGAAAGTTGCAATGCATTTAAGATTCTTTATGCTGTACTGTTTTGCATATGCTTTTAAAAAATACTATATGCATGTTTATATAGCAGCCACCTTTCATCCACAAATGCATGGGTAGAATTTTATGTATGCATCTAAGTATCTTTGTTAATATAATAGTCTTTGGCTGATCATGAGAACTCAGGATTGAAATAACTATAGAATAAGTTTAAATGTTGGCCAAGTACAGTATTAATTGAGGCTTTCTGTCTTTTCCCCTAGTGATCTTTCATCTGATATTAATAGATTTGAGATAAGTCTTAGTAACAAAACAAAGAAAAGTAAAGATCCAGATATATGTAAGTATTTTTCTGTAAAAGATGCATATATATTGCAACATTGGATACAATTTTCATTGCTCTTGTTAAATATTGTCACAAGAGAATTAAGTATATTCTGTGATTAGCATACAGCTGTATTGGTATGTTTTGGATGTCTGTTACTGACTCTACATTAATGTTTTTACGATAAGAACCTGCATGTTTTTTTAGTAGTAAAACGCACAGTAATCCAATCCTATGTATTTGATGGCTTTTCTAGCTCAATTTCAGTATACCTATTATGTTATACTTTGACCATGTTTACAAAAAAAAAAGGGGGGGGGAGGAAAGAGAAGCTGTCAGAATTAATCTGCTCCATAAAATGTTATGTTCCACTAAGTTAATTTCTTTAATCTGTTTTAAGTCCAACTGTGTGGAATTTCTTTTGTCCTTTTCAGGATTTTTTTGTTGCTTCCAGTGAGAAAGAGGGAGGAAAGGTAGTACTTTCCTCACTTAAAAATAAATAACTAAAAATCCAACTTGACAGTCTGTAGAACAAAATTTGCCTCAGTCCTGTGTCATCCTGTTCTTCCCCCCTCATTCTCTCTCAGCTGTGTTCCCAAGAATTTACTTTCTTCCTGTTATGTACACAGCTGCTTCAGCTGTTTTGTTTCTATTTTTCTATTCCAGCAAACTGCTAGCAAAATGGTAAGACTTATCGGCTTTCCCCAAAAAAACAAACACAAACCAAATAACCCTCCCCAAAAAACCTACACCTGCATTCTGAGACACACAATGTGTTTTTTTGGCTTTCAAGGTATTTTGTTTCCCACCAAACTTGTCTTGTAACTTCAGCCCTCTGTCTTTTCTCTGGAGGTTCTGGTTTGTTTTTACACCAGGATAGTTGGTTAATTTCAGATGAATTCATGTTGAAAAAGAAAACATTTTTATACTAGAGGCAGTCACCTTATGCAGTCAAGTCCTTAGGGCAAAATCATAGAATCATAGAATGGTTTGGGTTGGAAGGGACCTTAAAGATCATCTAGTTCCAACCCCCCCCCACCATGGGCAAGGACCCCTTCCACTAAACCAGGTTGCTCAAAGCCCCATCCAACCTGGCCTTGAACACTTCCAAGGATGGGGCATCCACAACTTCTCTGGGCAACCTGTTCCAGTGCCTCACGACCCTCACAGTAAAGTATTTCTTCCTAACATCTAATCTAAATCTACCCTCTTTCAGTTTAGAACCATCACTACACTCCCTGATAGAGTCCCTCCCCATCTTTCCTGTAGGCCCCCTTTAATTACTGGAAGGCTGATATAAGGTCTTCCCGGAGCCTTTTCTTCTCCAGGCTAAACAATCTCAACTCTCAGCCTGTCCTCATAGGGGAGGTGCTCCAGTGTTCTGATCATCTTCACAGCCTCCTCTGGACCTGCCTGAGCAGGTCCATGTCTGTCTTATGCTGGGGACCCCAGAGCTGAACACAGTACACCAGGTGGGGTCTCATAAGAGCAGAGTAGAGGGGCAGAATCACTTCCCTCGACCTGCTGGCCACACTTCTTTCGATGCAGCCCAGGATACAGTTGGCCTTCTGGGCTGCGAGCATGCATTGCTTCTGTCTCTCCTTTCAGGCAGTTTGTATTTCCATTAGTGCCACAGCTTGTTTGTGAAGTTGGTATTTGAGAATATGTAGCTGTAGGAAAAAAATGTCACTGTGCTACACATTTATCACTTCTGTGGCACTGGGAAATAAGCCTACTATGGCAGGTAATAGACTTGGCTCCTTCCCTCCCATGCTCTCCAGGAAATATGCGCTAAACACATTAAGTGCAAAGTGCGTAGTAAACACTCTCACATAGACATGGGTGGACTTTGGGCAAGAGGGAGAAACTATGGAGCCTGTCAGGCACATTTTAACGGTAGTAACCGCATACTGTCTACCAACACTAGGGACCAAAAATAAGAGGTTGACAGCCCCTTCTTTGAAGAACAAAGTCTAAGAGGTTCCAGTCCTTAACAGCTCCTCGCTGCCTTGTAAATGAATTGTGCGAAAATGTCAGTGAGCTGTGGGTGGGAAAGCCAGGATTTAGTATGTCCATGTATTGAGCAATTTCTTCTTTGTCAACATTTAGATAGGCTTTTATTCTGAATCAGTAACTGTAAATATTTTTAGGGTTTTTTTTGAGGGAGTGGATGCTTTTGGTTGGTTCTGGTTGGGTTCAACAAAGGCTTCACTGTAAACTTAAGTTCATTTCCATTCTGAAGAAAACATAAGTTTGAACCACTTTTAAGTTTGATTTCAGGTTATAATTATTAATCATGAAAATATAAAGTTGTTACTAAATATTAAACCCTAAGCTTTATTCACAAATAAACCATTAAGAAACCTCAGTCTTCCTTTTTTTTGTGCTACTGTTCATCATGTAAAATATTCTTGGATCAAGGTTGTTGTATGTAGTTCTTAACTGTACTTACAGAGAAGGGATCAACTATTGTTTTCTTTCTGTATATTTGTTATTCTATCATAATGTGCTGGACTGCAAAGTGTAAACATCCTTAAATTCTCAACTAATGTCAGTCTCTTATTGAACATAGCCTAATAGTTCAATATATGTTGCTAAGTAGCAGAAAGTGTTCCTTTAAAGTGTTTGAATATAAATTATGATAATAAGTATTCTGCAGTCCATATATTGACATTTCTCTTTCAATCTTTTAAGATCAAAGCAAGATTATAGTATTTATATTATCGCTAGGAAGTGCTACTATATAACCATGGGAAAAAATAAATCGAGAATTCTGAATCCTGTATCTTACTGTTCCTGTCAATGAGATATATGCCTTATATGCGCAAGCAAAACAAGAAGGAAGCAACGTTGGGTTGAATAGGCCGGTGCATGTCATTGCATAGTAATTTTAAGGTACCAACATGACAAAAAAGTGAATTAATGATTTTGTCATTCTTTGTTGACTTCTGTCATTATTTGGCCAGTAAGCTATCTGTGAATGCTTTTTCATATGGTTTGCATAAACTGTTACAGCCTTAACCTGGGGGTTCCTAAGTATTAAAGAAATACATTTGGCAACATTTGGGAAAGATGTAGTAATGCTAATAATAAATACTAAACATAGTAAGAAAGTGGTTCAAGAGCAGACCTGATGGAGGTATGAGCCTAAGGCTTCAAAAGAGGACAATGAATTCTAATCACTTAACCTGTTTTAATTTTCTGATTGCTGCCTAGGTTTCCTAGGTAGCTGGGGGAGAGGGGTGCTTTTTCCCCTATTGGGTGTTAAAAAGAAAACTTTGTTAATATCTGTGCATATACATTATTTACAGCATGCTTTATATTTCAGCTTCAGTTTTCAAGAGTCTGTTAAACCATCTAAGAGATAATCTGTCAATATATTTGATGGCACAAATTTTGATCGTTTTTATTAATACTCTTGCTGAAACAAGATGACGTGCTGAAAACAAACTTTTTAAATTCAATACTAGCACTGTTTTGCTGGAGATAACCTACTTAATGATGCTTTTTTCCTTAAGTGTTTATGCGTTGCCAATTAAGCCGATTACAGAAAGGACATGCAACAGATGAGTGGTTTCAACTCAGTTCCCATATACCACTGAAGGGTATTGAGCCAGGGTCTTTGCGTGTTCGAGCACGATATTCTATGGAGAAGATCATGCCAGAAGAGGAGTACAGTGAGTTTAAAGAGGTATTAAGTTTGTTTCCTCAGTTTTTCTGTCAAAATTAACTTTCTCTGTTGTTTGAGAGCGATTTCAATAACACTAATAAGCATTGCTAAGTAGTATTTGTAGTGACTGTTATGCTAGGACAAGTTTCTGAACATTATTCTGGTTTTCTTTCAGCTCATACTCCAGAAAGAGATGCATGTAGTCTATGCCTTATCACATGTTTGTGGACAGGACAGAACACTGTTGGCTGGCCTTTTATTGAAGATTTTTCTTCATGAAAAGCTTGAGTCACTATTGTTACGAACACTAAATGACAGGGAAATAAGCATGGAAGGTACTGTACTAATTATACTAACATTTACTGAAACTCTGGGGAGGGAAGGGCTCCCATGTCTGTGTTTCTGTCTCCTCCCTTAATTACATCATATATCAAACTGTGAACACAGCATATTTTTTTCCTCTGCTTTTTGTTGTCTTCTTTTCCCAACTTTTCACTTTATTTTTTTCAGATGAAGCTACTACTTTGTTTCGTGCCACCACTTTAGCAAGTACACTTATGGAGCAATATATGAAAGCCACAGCAACACGTTTTGTTCACCATGCACTGAAAGAGAGTATATTAAAGATAATGGAGAGCAAGCAGTCCTGCGAGGTGATATCTTGAACTATGTATTTTTTAAATTTTTGATTTGTTGAAATGATGATCCTATTGGTTGTTTTCTTCGGAAACATTTATTAATCCTTCAGAAATAATTTCGATAACGGAACTGAACTGATTATGAGTTTTTTCTAAATGTTAGCTTGAACAATGTTCATAGCATCACTTGTAAATAAGTTTTTAAACTCAATTTTCTTTAAATTATGTATTCTTTAGCAATTGTAGGTTCTTTTGTAGCAGTTACTGAATGGCCTACCCCAAATAACTTGTGTTAAGCTCAAGATATACTAGAAGTCAATGTCTGAACTTAGTTTCATTTTAAAACTCCCTTACATTAACTGCTTGTGTTAGATCCTATCTTCATTTCAAAAACGACCCTCCTAACGTCTGTTTCACTTGAACTTAATTATGGAAAGGGGGGGCAGTGTCCTCAGAAGACTGGATTAAAAGATATGAGAATATATGTAGTTAAAAAAAGATGGGTAGTTATGGATAGTGTTAAATGTCTGTACTGTTAAAAGCATAGTGCACTAGAACTTAAAAACATTGCTTTTTCACATTAGTTTCCTGGCTAGCCCTTGAAGCAGATTTGTAAGTTCTGTACAAGTCTGAGATTTGTACAGCAGTAGAATATTTAATTTATTTTGAAATAGTATTCAGTGTGTAATACCGTCAAATTATATATGTAGTTCTATTCAAGAAAAGAAACTTAATCTTTCTCCCTTTTGGTTTTAGTTAAATCCCTCAAAATTAGAAAAAAATGAAGATGTAAACACTAATTTGGCACATCTACTCTGCATACTTTCGGAATTGGTGGAGAAAATATTCATGGCTGCAGAGATACTGCCTCCGTAAGTTTGCACTCTTCTGTTCAAATTTGTACTTGAAAATTCCTGTTTGTGTGATTTACATTGCACTACAAAATGGTGTTCTTATTGGTTTATCTTATATTAATCAGCCCTAAGACTAAGATTCTCATACCAACTCCAAAGCACAGCACTATACCAGCTATTGGGAAGAAAAAACAACAGCCTGGTTTCAGCTGGGATGGAGTTATATGTACAGAGAAAAAAAAACAACACTTGAATGAATTGTGCTTTCTGCAGATGTGGTGGGTTGGCCTTGGCTGGATGCCAGG